TCCTATTGCCAATCCTGACAGTCTGGGGCCTGCCAGTCAGAAAGTCCAGGAGCCAGTCACAGAGGGTGGGGTGCAGACCCAGTGTGGACAGTTTGTGGGTGAGTTTGTGGGGGACAACTGTGTTGAAGGCGGAGCTGTAGTCAATGAAGAGTATCCTGATGTAGGGGTCTCCATTTTCCAGGTGAGAAAGGGAACAGTGGAGGGCAGCCGCGATGGCGTCGGAGGTGGCCCTGTTGGGCCGGTAGGCATACTGCAGGGGGTCCAGGGTGTCCGGTATACTGCTCTGAATGCGGGCCAGCACCACTCTCTCAAAACACTTCATGATAATTGGGGTGAGTGCCACTGGCCTGTAGTACAAATGCATGTACAGTTTGACTTAAACATATTAGTTTAAATTTGTCGCTTGAATGGTTAAAAAAAAAATCATATCATTTTATCGTTGACTAATGTTGCACACAGTGACATGCGTTTTACTTCGGTTCTCTGGAAACACTGGTATACCTGTCTTTTAAAGGGGCAGTAGTTTTATGGGTGTTCTTGTGCTCTCGTTTTTATGTATTTTCTGTTTTTATTGTTTCATTTTTAAACTGTTCTTTTATTGCTTTTATTTGTTTTGAACCTGGACCTTGAGTCTGTAATAAAGTGTCATCATCATCATCATATCGAATCGGCCAAAAAAAAAAAACTGCAATTGGTGGATCTCTAGAAAATAGTGTTAAAGCTCTTTGAGCATGTTGCGGTGTATAGAAAAGCACTGTACAAGTATAGTGCATTAACAAACTAAAATATGAAATATTGCATCAATATTTTAAAATGAAATAAATTGTATATAGTGTACATTAGTAGAAAGTTAAACAGATACACTTCAAATCTGAAATAAAAAAGCATGGCGTGGTGGACTAGCATCAAAAACAGCTCAGGAATTTGCCTGCAAGCAGCCCTTGATTTGATTAGTTAAATTGAAAAGATCACAAGTTAATCTATAAATGAACTGTCAGTTAAAAAAAACAGAACAGTCTGCTAATTCTTGTGCAGTTTTCATTAGTCTTCCAGGATTTTCCCTAGATTTCAGAGGGCGTAGGTGCCTTTTAGGTCTTGGCGGTGTTGCTTGTGGAGTTTGAAATTATTCCAATTTTTAGTTGCTGTAGTTTTTTTTTCTCTTTTTTGACCGTTATCCTTACAATATTTGTGAGACTTGCATTCAAAGTCTATTTTTAATCACTGCATAGAATTCTTCCTGTTGTTTTTAGCATATATTATTATGCTAAATGGTCTTTTTATGTTCATTCAGCTTAAAGTACTCTACAGAAATTTGCTTAGGGAAACCATCCTGTACACAAAAATGGACCCCCCACAAAGTTTTCCTCTCAATATTTGTGTGCAGAAAGCTCACATGTCACTAGTGCTGGGTGATATGAGCAAAATCCGTGTCACTGTATTTTTATTTTTTAAGATTCTGACAGTTTCACAGTATATCACGGTATCTTTTTAAAGTAATTCATATATTCATATTTACTTATGGCAAGATGAATCCTGTGTCCAGAGCACTGTTGTTTTCTCCAGTCATTCAGGAGGGCTGCCTTCACTGCGTTGGCCCCACTGTCAGTTGTTAGCAAAGATTTACAGTATAGGCCTTACACAGTGTTTATGTTTGAGTTATTTGGGCCAACTGCCTGTCCTCTCCCAGGATTTAAGGGCCTCACTTAAGCCTTACTTCTGCAGTGTGATTGCAGACATTATATTTCACGAGCAAAGAGTAGCTGTGCATCTCCTAGTCATCACTGAAGGTGCATCGTTATGTAGAGGAATGACTCCAAAGTTTGACTTGACCACAGGTCTGTTGTGGAAAAGTGAGCCAGTGTCTGTAGCTCTGCTTCCAGCTTGCTTCAGTGTTGTTGTTACAGTGTTGTTTGCAGTCAGCAATTTGCTGGTGTTGCCAAGAGCAGCAACAGTGACTCAGCAAACTTTGCTATATACATACATACATACATACATACATACTGTAGTCCTTTGGACTGTTTTGAGACTCAAACCTACCAAATTACAGACTCCTCTCCTCACTTGGACACACGTTCTTCTAGTGCATCTCCAGTTTGACTTTCTTCATCCTCATTTTCTCTTTTCTGTTCTTCTAATCTGTTTTTAATCTACTGTAGCAATAACCACAGAATTGCAATACTGTGTACTGACAAGCCAAAGCAGAGGATGGTATGCAACCTGCTGAAGTCACAGATGACCACCTCCGTATCCTTACCTAATAAATCAAACTTGTGCGCTACCTACAAGAGGACCCCATAAACTCAAATGGAGAGCTACTTGCCTGGTAGCACGACAAGCAGGGTAGATTTCATGTGCTCTCTGAAGGCGTCCACAAATACATATGTATTTGTCCAATGAGCACACCGTGAGAGAAAGTCCGTAGTGCCTCTGGGGACGTTGTTACCCCTCTCTGATTTTCTCTGAAACTACAAAATATTAACATGTTAGTTTCCTGGAACTCAGCTGTCATCAGTTGTTTTTTTTTTTGTTTTTTTTGAGATATGCCTTTTATATTGATTTAGTTTGTGTTTCATTGACGAATATCCTCTCTTAGGTAATTAAGATGGCTTTAATACTGTGCGGAGCTGATTGATATTGGACTGGAATAAGGATAAAATACGTCATTTATAAAAATAACAACAAAAAAAAATATGGCAGTAGTATCACGTACTGCAGTGTTGAGCCACGTTAAATTACCACAGGGGAAAGTACTTCACCGTGACGGCCTTAACAGATCCACTCCCAGCTGCTAACAGGCTGTTATACTGCTGGGCCAGCCAGCATGCTGTTTTCGCTGTGCAATTTTGTAAATGTACAATTACTAACATTACATTTTTTTTGTGTCACAAATGGTTGAGCACTGTGGTGTTTTGCCCTGTTAAAGAGATTAAGTTGAGTATTTAATTGCTGGGGGAGGCAAGGCAGCTTTATTTATATAGCACATCCCATACACAGAGGCGTTTCAAAGTGCTTTACGTACAGTATACATCAACAAAAAAAAGATTCTGAGCATTCACTGGATGACTATGAAGGAATTATAGTTGGTTAAATTAAATGTAGTTCATTCATAACCTGATGTATTTATGTTTTATTAATTAATGTACATTTCCCTGATTAGACATGTAAATAGAATAATGTTGTTTGTAGCAATGACGGAAATTTAGGCTTGTGCCCAGAGCCCACCTACTGTGCATGTGCAGTTAAGGGGTGATGTCACACTGTGCGCTATTACGTATGGAACTTAATATAGCACTGTCTGAGTGGATGCAAATCAGTGTAAAGGCCCCTAAAGTGATGGAAACACGTTTTCTTGTGTGTGTGTAAAAGACTGAGCAGTGACGTGGAAGTGATGGGTCCAAGGAGGAAGGCATCTAAACTCCAGCTTATAGGTGGCATTGATGGAGGGGAGCTGGTCCTCAGACCCAGTGAGCCAAAAGACTACATCAATGAGCTGTCCCATGAAGTTCTTTGTCATATATTCAGGTAAACTGCCCCACTAAACTGTTGTATACTGCATAACAATGGGTAGTATTCTAGGGTATGCATGAGTTTTTATTGTCATGCATTTTGGTGAACCAATGCCATGAGTGGGATGTCATCACTATGGGTAACACTGTGCATATATATGATAGCCTGGTGGTGACATCGTAGTTTAACAAAAATTCAGCACAGTCTGTGAATTTTGTTTATTTAAATATAATTTATATATCTGAGAAAGTCAGCTCTTCCTCACATTGGTATATAAAACCAGCCCTGTTTATTCATTTGCACCATTGCAGCAGTGGTCTAATGCACCCAGAGATATTAGAGGGAGAGCAACTGAAGTATAAAAAACAGTCTCTGACAGGCGATAAATGTGCTATATATATATATATATCATCTTATAGAATATATTATACGACCCGACTCTACTGTAGGTGGCTTTCCGAAATATGTGTGACACCTTGATCTAAGCTGCAAAAGGTTTTGAAAGTTTCAGCTTTGTTTTGTAGGTACCTTCCCATGAAGGACATCATGTGTATGGAGTGTCTGTCCAGAAAGCTTCGTGAAGCTGTGACTCTATACCTGCGAGTGGTCAAAGTAGTGGATCTATGTGCTGGTCGCTGGTGGGAGTACATGCCTTCAGGTAAGAGCCCACAGTACAACCACTGCATCCTTGACAAATAACTGCTATAGTACAGCTGCTTATACACAGTTTATTAAAGAGCTGGTATAATGGTAAACAAAAACACAGTTCTACTATTGTGAAGTCTCAATCTGCATCAGAACAGCCATAATACCAGCTCTTTAAGAAGTGCACCATCTGCAGTGCAGTCTGAAATGGTGGTTTTCAGTCTGTGGTGGAAGTGGGGACTGACTCCACTGTCCAGACATTCACTACTCTGAGACAGAACAAACTGGAGCTTTGACCATGATGGGAACAGAGGTCCATGAGCCTGGTGGTCCTGCTGGGGTAGAGCTGGATATTGAATTTTGATACTTTTATGGCATCGATTGAATTACTTCAATATCATCGAATATCGAAAAATGCTTTTCTACGTTTGTATGTACTGATGTTAGTAGACGTTAAGGTTGTGGTAAATCGGTTTACTTTTTATGTTATGAAACTGCTTTCAATGCACAAAAATGCCAAGGAATTTAACAATAAAACTAATGATCTGTACCCAAATGTGTGATGTATATGTATTTTTTTTAAACTGAGTTCATAAAATTGGCATTGAAAAAAGTATTGTTTAGGAGCTAGTATTGAAAATCTGGGAAAAAGCTGTCCCTGGTAGGCCAGTGGTTAAGGCGCAGCACTCTCGCCGCTGCGCCCCGGTTCCGAGTCAGGGTTGCGTCAGGGAGGGCATCCGGCGTAAAACACATGCCAAATGTCAACATGTGAGTTGTCAGTGTGACGATTCGCTGTGGCGACCCCTAAATGGGAAAAGCTGAAAGTGACTTTATTTCTTCTATTGAAAATCTGGGAATGATACCCAGCTCTGTATTGGAGTTAGAGTTTGGACAATGGCTTGGTGATAGATGATCACTAGACTCTTTAACTAAATGTGACCTGAAACAGGGAGCTACGTTTGTGAACAGAAAAGTAAAGTGGTTTTGGAAAACTGGGAGAGGTTGACCTTAGTGGACTAGCTACAGTCTGGTGGATGGGAGAGGAGGGAGGTGCCCTAGTACAGCAGTACGAGTGACAGTGATGTGGTAATGTGATAAGAGAACTATACTATACACTGCTGTGTGCATTTAGACCTGCTAATTACTTATTTATATCATTGTATATTTCACAGATATCTATGTTTTTAATGCAAAGCTGTGATATTTGTGCCCTTTGAGTGGCACTACAAATGGAAACATGTTTATACTGACATTCCTCAGTTGGTTTAGTAGTTGATGATTTTATTTTTGCACATATTTAGAATAGGGTTTGATCATGTTGCTTTTTTTTGTTTAGGCTTCACAGACAGCAGCTTTCTGCTCCTTTTGAAGAAGATGCCAGATGTAGAGCAGCTATATGGCCTCCATCCTCGATACCTGGAGAGGAGACGAGTCCGAGGCTACGAGGCATTCAGTATACCTGGAGTCCTGGAGGCGCTGCAAGCCTGTCCCAATCTAATGGTCAGTGTGTAGTGTGAGAATGATATCCATGTAGTTTTGTTTCAAACCTGGTTTGGTATCTCACTATGAGAAGTGCCCTCTGGTAAGACCAGTCACAGAGCCTTCTCTACCACCACATCTATCAAGAGCCAGACCAGTCAACTGAGCTGTATGGATCAGCACGTCCCCATTCTTAACCGTCTGCAGTAGGGCTGAACGATTAATTGTTTTCAAATTGACATCACGGTTTAAGAGATTTTCAAATTGCAAAAGCCGCAATTTAAATTGCTATTAAAGGCAACGAGTACACAAGTAAACAAGACGGAACAAAAAAAGAAAATGTGCATTAGGAAAATAAAAATAGTACTTGTATACACACAGTTTAGATGCAGTTTTCCAGATAGATGTATACAAAAGTATATTTACAGGGTATTGCACTGAGGGTTGTTGTCCTGTTGTACAGTCATGGGTTAAATGTTCATCAGAGTGATGGCCCATGGGAAGAAACTATTCTGGCTTAGAGTTTTGATTTACAGCCCTCATAGAGCCTACGAGTTCATTCTGCCTGGGGGATGACCATGTCACAGGCCCAGTTTAAAGGTGTTTCTGTGAGGGATATCTGTGCTGCTGCTAATTGACCACACATGATGTAGGTTGTAATGGTTTGAAAAAGCAAGGTTTGAAAGAGAACGGTTGGTCACAAGGATAAACCCCCTTCTCTGAAAACTAAGTATCTCACACAATTGCCCTGTTTGTATGAGTGGTGCACATGGGAGAAATATGCCTGAGAATGCCTTGTATGGGCTCACCGATCATTTATAAAGGGAGCTAGGCTAGTACATACGACTCAGCTGACTGGTCTGTCCTCTGAAGGATGTGGTGGTAGTAATGGGTCCACATAAAATTTAGTAATACTATAGTGACTTTGTTTGCTTTTGTCCTGTCTACAAGGCATAGAGGAATAGAAATGAGGCACCTTTGCTTCTAAATCTCTCTGTTTACTGTCTGTCCAACCTGGTGCTTCTGCACTAGCAGCAACATGTTGGCTGCTATCTTCCACCTCTCCTGTCTCTCTCTACAGCTGTTTCTTCTTGACCCTCTCTTGCCGGCACAGCAGCACTGGTTGAAGCTTGGAAATATTCAAACCAAATTAACCGGCTAGCTAATCAGAGTGGTTAGGCTCTTCAGCTTTAACACATTTTCTTAAGCTTCTAATTCTGATTTGCTAATACGTTTGGTCCAGACTATCTTTGCACATCCTCAGAATGAGCCTTCTGATTCCTGGAAAAAAAAGTTAGTATTGAGAGAGCAAATGTGAGAATTACTGAATCACCATCTTGAGCTGTAGAATCCCTCCATCTCCATCACTCTGCCTGCTCGGTAATATCACAAGTCGACCACCTACCAATTAAATACACATTGGGTCGGGTCTCCCTTTTAGCTCTATTCTAATGTTACCTTAGCTATCATTATTAGCTTGCTAGTAACTAATTTGAAGAGTAGCGCCTCTGCTATTAACAGTTTTGTGTTAAAAACAGACACAGAAAGGACTTAAAAAAAAAGAACAATATGGAAATCGCCAACCTCGGTAGCGCTATGAAATATGGTAGATGTCAGAAAACTACTGTCCAGTCAGATTAGACACGACGACAGACACAACGAAAGCCAGCTACTTTGTGCTACATGCATGAATGCACAGTAAACCTGAGCAGACTGAGAAACATTTGAAACCCAAATATCTGAGTATTTGAAAATTTGTGTGTTGGACAGGCAATTGGTTTTCAGTTTTAGTCTTCAAATATTTGCCACTTCATT